TAAAAAATGAAACAAAGCACTGCTCTATTTCTCTCATTACTCCAATAATGCTCGGTTTAATTTAATAATTACTCTATTAATTGTTAGTCTAATTTTATTTTAATTTAAAAAATTAGTTTTTTTTTTAAATGGCCTATAAACTTTATAAATCATTTCAAAATAGTTTAACAGACAAAATTTCTATTGGTTTTAATAGAAAGATGATCAAAACAGTTAGCAAAAGGTGACAATTAAGTCCCACAAGTTTTAAAAATTAATGGATGACTTTGTAACATATCCTATAATAGTATTAAGTATATGTAATCAAATTGAGCAATCAGCTCAATATGAAGAAAGAGTTCTAAGTAAGATTAAAGAAAATCCCTTGATTATGTTAAGATAAAGAGTCTAAGACATTGGAAGAATAAATTCAAATGATGGAACTGTACGATTATATAATTGACACATCAAAATTAGAGAAGAATGAATTAGTAAATTAAGAGAAATTGTTGGTTTACTTAAATCAACATGAATAATAAATAATAAATTGGACTAGTATTTACTCAATACATTGGGCAGAAACAAGATCAATATAGAAGATATAAATATTATTAATAAAATTTTAAAAATAGATACTATCAATGAAAATACCCTAGGAAGAATTAAAGAAACGAGAAAATCCCTCTTTCAATAATTTAATTCTATTAAAGAAAACGTGAATAATGTAAAAAATTTCAAAGATCTTAATAAGCTAAAGAAAGCTATATGGTCTATAAAAGACTAGGAAACTCTAATATCTCAAGTTAGGGATATCAATTAAAGTAGAAGAAATTCTCATAGTATTGAAAGCAATTGCTAAAAAATTTGTAGTAACAGTTTAGTATGTACAATAAAACAATCTCATAACTAGAAAGTGATATAAATAAAAACTTCTATAAGATCCAAACGCAATTGAAAGATCTACAAGACATTATAATATCAATATGTAGTAAAAGAAATATTGCAAATGGAAATGAAGGGTTTAAAATCATCTTGAAGATTTTCATAGAAAAACCTAAATTTAAAGGAATAACACTTTTTATGTTAAAAACTCAAGGAAAAAAAAATAGAAGAACTAGAACAAAGATTCTTGAAAGAAGATGTAAGAGAAATAGATAACTTGTGCAAAGAGATTGCAATAACTACTAAACAATTAGAAAGTATGCAGATGAATATGCAAAGAGAAGGCAAAGAGGCAATCAAGGAAGAAAGTGAAGAAGAGAAAAATGATAGTCAACCCAATGTAACTCCAACTAAATTTTCAGTATAAACTGGGATAAAGACTAGTACCAATCAAGATTTTAGAAGAAATAGAAATCAAATGAATGAAATATTAAATGATAGAAAATACAGGAGGTTTGGAAATCAAGCTAGACTTGAAGCACCAATTCGAGTCAACCAACATATACTTAGTACCAATGGTATTTGGCTAGACCTAAATTGTGCAATTGACATACAGAAATCCATTACTAAGTAGGTTCAATCAACATGGATTGCCATAGCAAATAAAAATTGGACTCCCTCACAAGCTAGTAGATTTATTGAAATTAACTTTAAAAGAATAATAGTCATGATTGGTTTTTTGGTTTATTTGATGAAGAGAGCAATACTATTATAAGTAGAAACCCAACTTCAAATGAAGTAAATGAAAATGAAGCAGTTCATGATATAATAACCAAATATGAAGCAAATATAAGAAAAGAATTAGGAGAAATCTGGGGTGAAAATCCATAAAAAAAAAAAAAAAAAAAAGAAGCCAAATTTGGAAGAATACCAGTATGAAATCTACAAAATTTAGAATTGTGCAATTTCTATGAATTGGGTCAATACATTTGTTCATTTAAAAAGTTTTATTACAAAGCTGTAAACCATAGAATGGCTAAAAACCTAATGGAATTATTTTTTGGAAAGATCCCTAATCCTTGGGGAATGAAATTGTTAGAAGCATATAGAACCTATGTAAAATGTAAGATAGATATGTTAGAATCAAGAATTTGGTTTACTAGAACCTAAATTAATGAATGGTGTCTAGAAACTTACAATTATAATAAGCTAAGAAAGAGTATGAAAATGGATCATGCTGCCCCTAAGAATAATGATCCAATTAAGTTAGGTTGTAGTTTTTCAAACTACAAGAGAAAAAAAATAAAAGATTTAAAATTAAAAGAATTAATAAACAAAAGTTTAACAAAAATAAATTTTCTAAAAAGAAAAGAAGGTACTTTAAGAAATTAGAAGCTCCAAGAAAGCTCAAGAAAAATCCCAAGAAATGCACATGATGGTTATACGAAGAAGAAGGACATTGTGCAAATGAATGTCTTAAAAGATATAAAATAGAAAGTGCTAAAAATTTAAAAATCTATGAAGAAGAATTGAGTGAAATAGGAAATAGTTCAATAGATAGTGAAGAAAGTATATATGAAGTAGAAAGTCTAGAAACTTCTAACAATGCTGAATTCAAATATTAAAGAAGGAGGAGTTTACTTTGAAGAATATGAAGGATACGGAGAATACAACCAAGTGACTGCATTCAACAGAAATAAATATAAAAAAAATTAGAAAAAGAAAATGGACCTAGCCCTAGAACAAGGATTTAAATCGAATTCCCTTATTAGTAATTCTTTTAAAAGAAAAGATATAGCATATTATGGAATATCTACTAAGGAATATAATATTTCTATAAGAAATACTATAAAAATAATTACTATACATTTGCTCATCAAGACAAAGGTAGAACATAGATTGTGTAAAATTAAAGAGTTAGATCAAAAATAGGATTTATTCATATTGGAGGAATTCAGATTCTAATCAAATCTCATTTTAGGGAAGGAATAGATACCCTAATAAAATTAGCTTTAATCGATAATAGAATTAATGACAGAAGGGATGCAATCTTAGGATTAATACAAGGCAACCTTAGTTATCAAAAACTCATGTTTACAGTATATCCAAAACATGCTATAAATATTAATAATAAAAATATCAACAAAACATTAAGCCTAGCACATGAGCTTGTTAGAGAAAACTTTATGAAAGATGGTTCAATGCCATATGGTATTTACTATATGTTAAGCTATGCAATGACCAACAGTTATCAATCTAATCTATTTAAAGACAAAGAGTATATTGAATTAGATCCTATGTTTTCAAAAATAGGACAAATTCAAAGACCTAAAATGATCACTGAAAAAGAATTACCCAAAGAATGGGTAATGGACATCAGTGAGAAACTACTTATGATAGGAGAAAGAGATAAGCCTAGATTAATGACATATGAGTTAAGAGAAAAATTATTGGTCAGAGTAGGACCGTCATAGAAGTAGTATAGATTTAGGAGCTATAAGTTATTCTAAGAAGAATAAAGAAGCTTAACTAGATCAACTAGTATATGACATGATATGGTTTTAAATATCATAAAAACATCCTTTAGACATTTCAAAATAAAGGGAGATTATTGTGATAGAAAGAAATGGTATAACATTTCTATCCTAATAGATACAAGTGTTAAAGTAACACATATCCATAATGATATGATCCCACACTTACGAAAATTTAAACTCACTAGGCCATACACATTTTCTAATTTTTATGGTGTAGTGACAACAATACATGAATATGTTAAAATACCTCTTAGAATAAAAAATAAGAATAAAATACAACATGAAATTACTATAAGAGCTCATGTTGAAACAAAGATGATTGCAAGTATAGTACTAATGCTAGGAAATACATTCTCAACATTAGTACAACCTTACAATATTGAAGAACATTGCCTAAAAATCACCCTTAATGGAGAAGAAGTAATCATACTAAGTTATTATGAAAACTAGTATCTATAGTGTTTACATATCTATAGGTTTTAAGTTTGAAGAATATAAAACAAATTTCTTTCTTGCTTTCATAGATATAGGATCTAGCATATGCTTGGCTAAAACAAAAGTATTCCTAAGATATTACTAGATGAAAACCTTTTAAACAATGAAAGGTGTAGCTATAGATAGAAGTATTATACAATACTGAACCACAATAGAAAGAACTACAACAATAATTGGGGGAATAGAAGTCATAATTCCTTGAGTCTATAAGAGTAATGAACATGACAATGATGTTCTTCTAGAGAACAATTTCTTGAGTCAATTCAAGTAGTATGTTCAGACCACATTATTTGTAAAATTTTATACTTCCTGTGGACATTGGCTTTATGCCTCTAGGATTTACAGTGCTTACACTAGAGTAGTAGAACTATGAAATTTCTACAACCAGCGTTGTGAGGACAATAGAAAAATTCACCCAAAAGAAATAAGAAAAGCAATGTTAGCCTTCTAGAATAATGAAATGCTAGGAGATCTAACTTTAGAATTCATTTCCAAAGAGCTAAAATGCAATTATGAAGAAGAACCTACAAAGCTTTGGGAAATTGATAAAGACTTATGCCACCATTGAATTAATACATCCAAAAACTATTATTAAGGTAAAACCAATGAGGTATAGTATTGAAGATAAGGAGGAATTTGAAATGCAAATTCAAGAGTTAATATCTTAAAGGATTATATAGACTTCTTAAAGTCTACACAGTAGCCCAGCTTTCATGGTTAGAAATCATAGGGATATTAAGAAAGGAAAAACTAGAATGGTTGCTAGCTAGAAATAACTCAATAGCAAGACTAAATTTGATGGCTATTTCTTGCCGCATAAAGAAACTTTAATCAATGGTGTTAGAGGAAAGAAAATATATTCCAAATTTAATTGTAAATCAAAATTTTGGCAAATTAAGCTAACCCTTGAAAATATTCCATTAATGGCCTTTAGTGTTCCTATAGAACACTATGAATGGTTAGTAATTCCTTTTGGATTAAAGAATGCACCCTTTGAAGAAGAATGGATAAGGTGTTCTAATCCATTAGCAGATTTTGTACAGTATATGTAGATGATATACTATTCTTTTCAAATGACGAGAAAAAACATTTATATCATCTTAAGAAATTTGCATATTTATGTAGACAACATGGAATATGAATTGCCAAAAACAATGCTAGGACAAACTAAAATAAAATTTCTTGGATTAACTATAGATTCCACAAGGATAGAATTACAACCTCACATTAGTGAAAAGATATCTTTATTCACTGATAAATTATAATCTAGAGAACAGATTCAAAGATTCTTAGGAATCTTTAATTATGTAGAGCAATTTATACAAAATCTAGCTCAATTAAGACATCCTTTGCAAAAATTGCTTAGTTAGAAGGATAATCAACAATGGAATTATCACACTAATCATGTGAAAAGAATTAAAGAATATTGTAAAAATCTTCCTAGGTTACAATCACCTAAAACTGATGAAGAGTTAATCCTAGAATGCGATGCTTTAGACTTTTATTGGGGAGCAACTCTAAAGAATTTGCAAGAAAATGTTTGTAGATATGCTAGTGGAACATTTAAGGACATAGAAACTAGATATCACTCTAACCATAAAGAATTATTAGCTATCAAAAATGGAATTAAAGAGTTCAGTTTCTTCTTTTACCAAAGCACTTTAAAATTAGAATTGACAATACACAAGTTAAAGAATTTAGTTTTAGTAAATATAAAAGATTAAATAGATGGCAAACATTCTTTGTTGAATATGACTTTGAAATAGAGTACATTAAAGGTGCTAATAATTGCTTTGTAGATTTCTTGAGAGAATGAGCTAATGAATAAAATCTTGAAACTCTAAAATGAAGGAAAAGACTTGATTCTTGAAGGTCAAAAGAAACTCATTAAAGGCAATAGCCAAATGAAAGAAGGCCAAGAGATGATTGATGAAGGCCTAAGCCTTATGAATTAAGGCCACAGAAAAATTATTGAGGGCCATGAGTTATTAAATAAGGGTCAAGAAGTCAAAGAGCTAATAGAAAAATTAATGAATTTTGGATTAATTACTACTATCGGAACCAACTCCAAAGAATCTAGTCAAATGGCAAAGAAAAGTTACCAATAAGAGCCAAAAGAAAATTTTGAATAAGGAGATCCTACAATAAGATTACTAGGAGAAATCTTAGGAAAGTTTGACTATTATGTCAGATACTCTCTCGCAGAAATATCAGCACCTCAGGCTAAAATGTCAACTATTCAAAATGCCAAAAATCTTAACTTTCGACTTGATTACTCAAGAAAAAAAGAAAAGGAAGTTATAATAATAAACACTTTATCTAAAATGACAATGAGTGAAGAATATTTACAGAAATACCACAGAATTTGTAAAATGACATATTTAATGAGGCTTACTAAAAATTATCATCCTAGTCATGAAGGGATTTATCCTACAATTAATATTATGTAGGGTTTAAACCCAAAAGCAATTAAAGAATCATTCAATTATGGTTTTGTAAATTGTATTTATCTCTCAAAAAACAATGAAGAAATTTCAAAGCTTCAAAGTTATGTAATAAGGTCTAAGAGACTTCAAAATTGGCACCAAACTCAAGGGGTAGTCTGCATCAAAGTTTACTCTGCAACAATAGAATGGGTAAAGTCTTAATTTTTTTCCAATATTTTTCCAATCATCGTATCATTCAAATTGGAATTCAATCCAAAAAGATCAAGATAAAAGCAAATGAAGATTAAATCTATCAAGAACTTGAAGAATCCCTTTGTGAGATGGATTTCATCCAAGAAAGAAGAGCCCTTGGATTCAAAGTTCTACTCCAAAGCCTTGATTGTATGATAGATATGAAGAAGACATGGACTTATGGGTTCACCAATAAAATCTCTATAGTATCCACAAGGGCAAGATTGATGACAAGCAATTTGCAAAAAAAAAAGAAATTTTTGAAAATTTATTCCCAGTCACTAAAGTAGTTTACATAGAATTTGCAAGTTGTTAAAGTATGACAATAATTCTGATTTCTATTAAAAAAATTATCAGAAAGGAAAGCTACAATAATGATGTAAGAAAAGATTTTTAGCAGGAAAAAAAAAAGGTAAATCAACTCCTGTACTTATCAAATGATAGCAAATTAACTCCTCAACTAAAAACATATGCAAATCTACCTCTCAACTCATAGAATGTTAGCAAATCAGCTCTTGATGTTAGCAGTGTTAAATCCTGACGTCGATATTGGTTTGGTGGTTCAAAGACTTACGTGGCAATGAGTTGGTAATTTTTTTTCTTATCATACAAATGCTATAGGAATTACTTTTGTATATTATTTTTTTATACAAATTTTATATATTATTAAATAAATAAATATATTTAAAATTATAAATTTCATATAAATTAATAAAATTAATCATTTTAATAATATATTAAATTATAAAAAAAATAAAATAAAAAAATTATACAAAAATCATTTTACGATATCATACTTTAACTTTTTCCAAAATAAGCGCCCCACCAGCAACGGGTGCCTAGTAGCAAGATGCACCGTAGCAATTCATGTTCTATTTTTGAATTTCCACTGTAGCAATCCATTCGAATTTCAAGCATTGCAACTTTTTTTTTTTTTTTTATGGGATCAAGCATTGCAACTTAAAATAAGGAGGATTAAGCATTTAAATTACAGAGATAGAAAAAAATTTAATTTACGAAAATGGAAAAATGGGTCTTCGAATTCTTCTTTCTTTAGAAACCCATTTTCCTAGAAACACTTGTCCACTTCCATTTCATTCACTTAAAACTCCCTAAAAGCCCAACCTTCATAGGAAACAAATAGAAAATAGCATCATAGCTGCCAACGAATTGACAAGTGCAATTTAAGTTTGTAAGAAAATCCAAAAGTTACAAGCTCATTTTAGGAATCCAAGCAACCGGAAATCTAAGAAAGGACAAAAGAAAAAAAAAATATAAGAAAGAGGCCAATAGATCTAAAAGAAATTAAAAGAGAAACTCAAGAAAATCAGCAATGAGAGTTGGAGTGAGGCAGCAGCGGGGAGGGTCTTAAACTTCGGCGGCATCCTGATAAAGGGATGGCCATAGAGACGTTTTCTCTTGTCTGTTATCTTGTTGGCTCAAGCGGCTTTTATTGTTGGCGGTGGTGATGTAGAGGGACAGATGAGTGTGGCAAATGACAGGCGGCGGTTTGTGGTGGTTTGCTGCTGTGGATGATGGGTCAAGGGCAGGGCAGAGCTGCACTGGGTTATAGTCGACAATTTCAGGGGACTAGCGCTGCAATTTTTTCAGCATAAATTTTGGATTTTCTTATGATTATTGGGTGAAGATTGAAGCTTTTGATTGTATCTTTCGCAGAAAATTTCGATGATGGAAAGCTTCAGGGCTGTATAGTTTCATCTTATTGATTATGTTGCATTAATTTAGGGATTTAAGGAGGGGATTTACTCTTTCTATTTTCTAGAGGTTGAAGACAAGGCTATATTGGTCATTCCAATAAATTGCCAACTCAGTCAGTTAAGTTTGATTTAGGATAAAAAATTGCCATCGCGTTGCCTCAGAAGCGTTGGACCCCCACCACAACCGTCTCTTCCGTCAGAGTTCAGCATATTGCCGACATCAACAGTGAAATAAATGAAATAAGGGCTGATTTGCTACTCTACAATGAGTTGAGGGATTGATTTACTTCTGTTTTTAATTAGAGGGTTAATTTGTCACTATTTGATGAGTACAGGTGCTTATTTGCCCTTTTTCCCTAAACATAAAACCATTCTACGTATGACAGCCAATAGACATGTGATTACCTTCTTTAAAAGGACAGCTTTTTGTCTTTTAAGTTCGAGCACAAACGTGGTTTTGAATCACAAAAACTTCGAACTAGTGCTATCCTACAATGCCATCTCTTTTTCATTTTCTCACGAAAGGCGGAAGGGTTTTTCTTTTGAATTCTCCCGTACCAAACGCAAAAACTTATATGCTTTTTTAGAGTAACGTGACTCCCGGAGTCAGAAAATTCAAAGTAACTGCTAACTAGGTCCATCTGCTTTTTCCTTTCCACGCACAAAACGCGAATAAGCTTTCATTTTTAATTTTCCTGCTCTATTTTCTTTGTACGAACGCGATCCTTTGAGGGTAGAAGTAAAAAAGGAGATTTAGATTAAGAGAATAGAAGCGAAAGGACATACTCCTTGGTGAAAAAGGGGGACGGATTGCTTTAAATACTCTATCCAGCTTTATAATTTTTCCTGTTTCATATCAGTAGGAATGCGCTTAATATCTAATATTTCAAAAAGAAAAACAAACAAACAAACAAACCTATACGGGCGACTGGCTTCACTGTATTATTGGACTCGGCAATAATTCACCACTTCCCCGTAGAAATGCTTATCTTGTAGTACCATTGCTTTTACTTTCGGTGTATTTTCTTTTTTTTCTTTTTCTTTTTTTTTTACATACTTTCGGTGTATTTTCTTTCAAAAATAAAATTTTGCCTTGGATTCCATTGAGTACCATTTTCTTGAGTACGTACCATTTTATTTTGCTCCAGAGATTTGTCTATGTCATGAGGTCTGCTGCCATCTATGAGCCAGGTACTGTTTTTGTAGCTAAGTGATGAATGATGAATCTAGTTTTCCTTTTTAAGAAAGTAAAATTTTATTGATATAAAAAATCACTAAAGTTAAAACATCAATATGAATGAAGTAATGGTATAGGGATATTATATTTATAAAATATATGTAAAATAATATTAAATAATTTAATATTTATATAAATATTATAATTAAGATTAAATTTTACATTTAACAATAAAATTACATTTCAACATAATTTATCTTAGATTAAAGATAAATTAAATAAATGATCAATCATAATTTTTTCTTTTTGGTGAGAAATAAAAAAGGGGTTATTATAAATCAAGGTAGTTTCAAGAAAATACTAATAAATTTTTTTGAGAGATTACAAACGTAATTCTAAAATAGTCCTAAAATTCTAAATTGGGACTTTGTAAAGTCAAGTTTGCCCCTCTCTCTAACTCAAATTTACAAAACTATGTCATTTCTCTTTAAAATTTATTTTTTTTATGTCAAAATAATTATTTTTTAATTTAAAAGAGATAAATATTTTTATTAAACAATTATTTTTTTAGTTTTAATTATTCATTTTATTATATAAAAAATCTCTTTATTTTTAAAAAATAAATAAGATAAAAATTGTTTCTAAATTTTTATTTTTAAAATAAAAACAAATTTAACAATTATTGTTCGAGACAAAAGGAGTAATCTTTA